GTACGAAACTCTCATAACCAACAAATTTTTCATCTAACCTCAACTCAAATATCCATATACTCCTTCACAAAAATACAGTAACACGAAGTACCACGTTTTATATCACAATAATCGATCAACAATAAATATTCACAACTCAAAAAGAAAATTAGTTTTAAAAATAACGAAAATGTCGCTACGAAAGTGTAGTTCGCGATCGTAACGTACGGCGCTGTGGTCGCGTTTGGCACGTGCTAGGTGCTGCACAATAGTTGATAAACGTGAAATTATAGAATAAAGAAGGCCTGCGCATCCTGGTAATCTTCCGCCTCCTTGCTCTCGCCCGTCTCCTCCAGCTCGAAACTCATTAAAGTTCCGAGATACCTGCCCATGTTTATGCAGGCATGTAACAACGAACGAGAACAACGCTCGTGTATGCATTTACGAGCGCAACATCGGCGTCGCTTTATGTACCGCAGCGAACGCGGAAAATGCAACTTTGTGCGACTTTCTGCTGGCCAACTACAGGTATACTCGTTTTATTGCTACGTTCCTCCTTTTTTTTCTCCTTCTTCCTTTTTACAGCCTCTTTAAATTCCCGATTCGTATCGATTCGTTTAGCTCGAATGTTTCGCCCATTAATGAGGGATATACGAATGAAGTGCTCTCTTGACGTAAAATGGCGAACATGCTTTCATGTTACTTGACGTTATTACAATGGACAGTTTAGCAAGATTTTAAAAGGATTTGTTTGACGAGGGACAAGTATGGGAATTTTAGGTAATATTTTTGATAAAGAAGGAGGATAGGAAATTTCTTATGAGGTTATGTTTATAACGATGAATGTTTTTATAGTAATTTTTGACGTTTGTAATTTTGATGAAGGAAATTAGAAGAAAATAGCTTTTTGTGTTTAATATTGTTTAATGAATAAGATTTGTGGAAATTTTAAATAATATTATTGGTTAAAATTGAGAATAGAAAATTTCAAAAATTTTGCAGCCATTGCAAGGTTTCAGTGTAGATATTTGTTTTTTGAAAAATTAGAATTATATTAAGACACGATTACTAAGTAGTGTTCTCTAGAAAATAAGTTTAGACAAATTTTGTAAAATTTTATAAAGCTATATACAATAATTTTCTAGTAATCGCCAATTTCTTTTGTTTTCGGTTGTTTAGTCCCTATTATTATCCTTTTCTAGCTTTTCATCTAGATATTCTTATTTTATTTTTCAGATTAACAGCTCACGAAAAAAAAAAGAATTAAAGATAAATATTTAACTAAATTTTGTTCCTGCGAAAAATAAAAATTCCAAATATCGATTCCTATAGTACATGTTTTGAAACAAAAATAACAAAATATATCACAGTATTTTCTTCATTTATTTAAAAGATAGAAGTTACATAGAGTGTTACAATAAATATTTTATTTTTTCAAGCATATTGTTTCATCTTAAATTCTTCAATCATTTCTCAATATTTAAAAAACGGTTAAAAAATTGATATGAAATTAAGTTACATAATTCTCAATATCAAATTATCCAATTTTCAATCTTCTTAATTTTGATTTTTCATATTGGTTCTGCGAAACTTACACATACGTACATTGTTACTTTATTTATTTCACGTTAGTACATCGTAAATATAAACTTTGCCATTACGCTATTCCAAGTTATAATGTTATTAAGTACAGTTAAATTTTATGGTACAGTGCCACAGCTACAGCACTGTTTATTCTTCCATTCGTTACGACAGTAATCTACGCGCCATGTTTGGCAGTAAAGTTTCCACGTAACGTTAGAACAGTAGTATACGATTACGAACCCATTACGCTCTAACCTCCTTATATTACATGGAAATTTTTCCGCCATTATGGAAAGCGTATCAACAGTTCGAGCGTACAAATTACAATTAGCTAATAACGGTAGATGGAGCTATTAACAAAATAAAAGTTCTACATGCTTGTTCTATATTTCACTATACTTGTACATAATACGAGGACCTCTGTCGACTAATCTTTTATGCTACGTACACAATTGCAGATCGAGATGGCCTCGAATATCACTAGAGGAATCTAGTAACTAGTGCCATATTTATATTGTCACAAATATTATATAACTATCAATTGACATGGACATAAATAACAAAATATAATATTGTGACAAATATAAATAACAAAAACAGAATAGTAATCAGAATGTTCAAATTAAAATGGACAAATAAAATAAAATATAAAAATAATTTTTATTCGAACATCTTGACTCATTTTTTTTTGTTATATTCAAACTCAACTTATTTAATAATTTATTCCATAATACTTTCTTACATCGTTATTATAATTTCAACATCTTTATTTCTATTTACTATTTTCTATATTTTTCTTTATTTCTTTATTCCTATTCTCAACATTTTTGTATCCATATATCTGTAATATTCACAAAATTGATATGTCCCAGGATATTCCACGTTTATTCCCCTCTCGTATCGTTCTATATGAATTCTTGTAACTAAAAAGATCCGTGTTGGCTGTTTAATAAACGTCGAAAAAGAATACTTCGATTTCTTTTTAATGGCTGGAATTATTCGGTTTTCGAGATATCATCGAGAGGAAATAGAGGGCGTGAAGGATCTTACGCGATCTATCCTTCTCTATTTTTTCCCACGTGACTCTAAAGTGCTACGAGTCGTGTCCTGTTCACCCATTTTCGAAGGACCTTAACCAACCATGACCGGAGTAGCTTGCATGCTACTTATCTTTAATGCCATAGACTTCGCCGAGTCGAAGGTCCACGTCTCCTTCTGCGATCCTTCTTGCGCTCTCCGCCATTTTACTTTACACGCTCGAGCGTTATTTTGGTACTCGCTGTATTGGAAATAAACAGCTTCGGTTATTTTTGGTGGAATAATTTTAAGCTCGCTTTGAAGGTAAAGGATTCCCTTTGTTCGATATTATTTACCCAGTGGTTCATCGTTTTATTCGGTTAACATTTAGATGCGTTTTAGGTTAGAATTTTAGGTTAGGTCGATTTTTAAAATGTATTGTAGAGTCTTTAAAAATTCATGATTTCTTGGAGTAACGTAGATAATTAACTATGATGTTTGCAAAGTATGTGATAGAGAAGGAATTATTCATAGAGTTGACTTATAATCTGGTAACATGAATATAACGCGAATATCCTTAAATAGGGTGCGTGATTAAGATATATTAATTAAATAGCTGGATTAAATAATTACAGATACTTGATATGTAAAATTTTAATTTTATAATTAACAATATTTTAACTACAGCTTAGCAAGATATATTATATTTATTATTGAT